GCCCTCACTCCAGGACTGCATCCACAGGGCAGGTTTGCCTGACTCACCTTTGAAGACACGGGTGGCCCAGCGACACTGGAGCTCTGAGATGGGCATGATGGCTCCTAGGGGCTGGATGAGGCCGATGAAAGCCAGTGTCGGTTTCTCCAGCTCAGGGGGGAACATGAATTTGTAGAGGGGAATGTGGTTCTCCACCACCTTCACGCAGCTCTCGAGGAACGGGAAGGAGAAGCTGTAACCTGTGGCAAAAACTACGGCATCAACATCTTCCCTGGTGCCATCCTCAAAGATGGCCGATGTCTCTGTGAACTCCCGGACGTTCGGCTTCACCCGCACCCTGCCCGAAATGATGCGGTTGGGCAGGTCATCGTTGACAGTGGGGTGCTGGTGAAAGACCCTGGAAGGTGCAAGAAGCCATTAGGGCACTGGGAAGGGAGTGCCTCTGCTCTGTGTCCTGCTCCAGCTGCTGCTCCCTACTCTGGGGCAGCTGCCCCTACACTGCTGTCTCCAAGAGTCCTTGGAAGGGGCAGTGGTGGCTCCCTCAAGCATTGCCTGGGCACAACAAAATAATAACCCAGTCCAGGCACTGGAGCAGGGAACGGCCAAGCTGGGCAGGACACAGAAGGAGGCAGACGATCCCTTCTGGGTAGGGGGAGTGTTTGGTGATACCTGTGCTTTGGCTTCAGGCCGTAATGTGAGTGATCAAACCTGGCATTCAGCTTCTTCTCCATGTAGTCACATGCCATGGATGAGCTGACCAGCCCCTGCAGGAATGTGTTCAGGCGGGTGGTTAAGACGGTGTCCATGGGGTAGCCCTGATCTCCGACACGGTTGAAGATCCATGCACCCCGGCGGGTGCTGAGGAACACCTAGACAAGGAAGAAGGATCACTGGCTGAAGGCAGTGGTCATCCTGGGAAGGCTGCCCTTTGGGGGATGTGCCCTTGCCCTGGGATCACTTTGCTTTTTGCTGCCCAAGCACTGGGTGAAGACCCAGAGGGCTGCTCACTGGCATGTCACAGGGGAGTGGGACCAAGTCTCAATTGCCTGGCAGCTGGGATTGGCAGGAGCCAGCATTGCCAAACACAGCAAGTGCTGGCATGGAGAAGCAGCTGTGCAAGAGTCTTGGTTTTGGTGTCCTGCAGAGCTGACAGTGTCCCACAGAGGCAATCCTGCCCACCAGGACCCTACTCCTGCTTACCTGCTGGGCTGTTTGGCTGATCTCCACAGCCAGGTCTGACCCTGAATTCCCGATCCCGATGACAACAACTCTTTTGTCTGTGAAAGCTTGAGCATCCTTGTAGTCTCGGCTATGGAGGTAGCAGCCCTTGAACTTCTCAATTCCTGTGAGCAGAAGGAGGAGGAATGCTTGGCTTCCTGGTGCCAGGCTGGAGGATCACCCCCTAAAGACTGGAGACGCTCCCTTACCTCACCAAAGCACTCCTGGGGAGCACAGGAGCACTCCTGGAGTGAGAGCAAGGCAGGGAAATGTTGGGGCTGGGGGGAAAGCAGCAGGGAGAATAGGGACTGGCATGAACAAGCTTTCTAGTGTCTCTGGTGTCTGCTCACAGCAGTGCACAGGGCAGTACCTGGGAAGGAACTGAGCGGGAGATGTGCATCGGTGTGGTGCCCACTGCACACCAGCACGGCGTCGAAGACGGCCGCCTCCTGCTTCCCCTCGCTCTCCGTCACCACCTCCCACTGCCCGCTGCTGGCGAAGTCGGGGCGCTTGGACACGCGGCACACGCTGGTCTGGCACGGATGGGGAGCGGGGTCAGGCACCCTGTGCCCCGCTCCCGCTGCCGCCTCCCGCTCGGCCCCAGCCCTCACCCTGAAGCGGATGTGGCGCAGCAGGTCGAAGTGCTGGGCGTACATGCGGAAGTACTCCATGATCTTGGAGTTGTGCATGTAGTTGGGGAAGTCCTCAGGGATGGGGAAGTCGCTGTAGCACATCATCTCCTTGGAGGTGTTGATGATGACGGAGCGGTAGATGCTGGCACGGCCGTCCTCGGGGTGCTCCTGTGGGAGCGGGGCACAGCTCAGCCCTGGCCAGGGAAGGATGGCTGGGGCTGATGAGGTGCTTCTTTTCATGGAGCCCCTGCCCTCAGTCTCACCCAGAGGATCCCACCATGGCCAGCTGCCACTCCACCAGCCACCACGGACCCCTGAGGGTCACCGTGCTGACCCCAAGCAGACACGTTGCCAGCAGGGTTTACCTCAAACCTCCAGAGGCCCCCGATGTCGCCGGTCCTCTCGAAGCAGAAGGGCTCCAGCCCCTCCTGGAGGCAGGCTTTGATGGCGCACAGCCCGCTGCTGCCCCCGCCGATGATGGCCACCTTCTTTGCCATGCTGCGCTCCACCATCGCGCTTCTGCCTGGGGACAGCGTCGGACAGGGGACTGAGCTGCCAGGAGTGCGAGTGTGCAAGACTTTGATCCTGGCCAAAGAGGTCCCAAGCAAGAGAGGCAGCCCCTCAAAAGTGTGTCTGGGGTTGCAAAGCCACTGCTCACCCCACCAGGTTTTGCGCTGGCCAGTGCTGGGTTTTGCACTTACTTGAGGAGAAATCCTACCGAATGTCAGGGAGCCTCAAAATCTCCCCGCCCACGCCAAGTCCCGGCGATGGAGGTGCCCTGAAGTGCTGTGGGGACCGACGGCTCCCTCCCGGGTGGGTGACAGCCCCTCTGCCCGCCCTTTGCCCTCTCCCTTCCCCGGGGAGATTCCTGCTGCGCTGTCGCGGTGCCGCTGGTGCCGGCAGCTCGGGGACAGCCTTCACCGACCTGCGGCCGTGGGACGAGCAGCCCGGGGCAGGCTGGGGCGGGCACGGGGCCGTGCGGGGGTCTCTGCCGGGGTGCCCCGGCCCGTGAGGCCGGCCCGAGGCCCGGCTTTACGGTGCGCGGCCCGGGAGCGGGGCCTCCCCCTCCGTCACTCCTCCCACGGGCCCGGGAGAGGAAGCCCGGAGCCGGCTGGCTCCCGGCGCCTGCTCGGCTGTTCCGGCAGCGGCCGAGGGAGCCATGCCAGGCGGGGACACGGACACGCAGCCGATCCTTGTGGTTGCGTGCTTGGTAAACAAACGCTGTCCTGGACTTTGGCGCTAGGATTATCAGGATCAGCCCACGCCCGCTTCTTATTCTGGTACCCGGGATGACACACCGCTCTGGCTGCTCCAGTGGCGGCTGGCGCTGTATCGCCCACATCCCCCGTGCCCCTGGGCTGGGCATGTCGGCAGTGTCCCCATAGCCACGGCTCACCCTGGGTCAGCAGAGTCCTTGGGGCCGGTGGAGCCCTGGTGAGAGGAGCACCAGGCGATTGGGGTGTCCCTGGTGTGAGGGTGGTGGCACCAGCAAGGAAAAGGCTGTCCCTCACAGCAGGAGGCACAGACCGGGGGATCCAAACTTGCTGCTGGCTCCTGGCACACTCACAGCCAGACAGCCCCCGAGGCTGCAGGGGAAATTTGCTCTTCCATATGCAGAGAACTTTGCTGTAGAGTTGAGCAAGGCAGAGGGGCCAAGCTCTGCAGCTGAAATGATTTTAATCTTCTAAAACTCTAGTATGTTTGCAGTAAGCTTAATAAAGCTCCTTCTGTCCCTTGCTGTCAGCAAGGGCTGATCTCTGCCCAGGGCAGAGATGCTGAGCTGCCAACCCACACTCTGTGCCTGCCTGTCAAAAAGCATCAAAAGGATCTTACCAAGCCAGGGATCGGCACAGGAATGGAGAGCTGGCAGCACTGGCAGTGCTGCTCTTCCTGCTCTGCTTCAGCTGGCTTCTGGCTCTTGCAAGCTCTGCACAGACTGCTCAAAGGCAACAGCTACAGGGGACTTCTCTGAGCTCTCCAGCGCTCTGCTGTTGCTATGAAACCTCTGTGCAGGTTGCCTCTGAATTGCCCTTCTCCCTGCAGGAGGCTGTATAGCCTTGGACTTTACCCCCCCGTAGCTGGACTCAGTACAGACAAACTGTGCTGTTGGGCAGCAGGGTCATGCCATGCCATTTTGGTTGAGGGTGGTATTTGGTTGGTTGATGTCTGTGGAAATTCACAGTTCCCCATACCTGGCAAGCACTCAGGATGTAGATTGTGTGCAGCAGTGTCTGCTGTACAGTGTCTGCTCTGGGCTTCCACAGCGGGCAGAAATGCCGTGGGACAAGTGGAGCAGAAAGCTCCTCTGTCCTATCAGTGACCTGCACCCATGCTTGGAGGTGGCAAGCACAGGAGAGCAAAGGTTTCTCTGGTGGAGACAAGCATAGAAGAGCTGAGAGGGTGGCCAGGCAGCCTGTGACCCAGCAGGGCTGTGCAGTGGTGGTGGTGGGTGCTACCAGGACCTCAGAGTGTCGTGCAAGTGTCATGAGCAACTTTTTGGCACACACGTGTGTGGGAGCCACAAATGAAGAGGTTGCTGCTGTACCCTCCATGATGTAGAGAGGAAGACCCCAACAGCTCTCTCAGAGTGTCGTGCAAGTGTCATGAGCAACTTTTTGGCACACACGTGTGTGGAGCCACAAATGCACAGGTTGCTGCTGTACCCTCCATGATGTGGAGAGGAAGACCCCAACAGCTCGAAGAAGAGACTCTAAGTGCAGACAAAAAACACACTGTGTTTTGGAAAAGGTAGAGCAAAGATGTTTCAGCACAGCACAGCAAGCCCTGCCCACCCAGAGTGCCACCTGCCTGTGCTCCCACAGCCTCCACAGGGCTGGTCTCTCCTGGGGGCAGGAGGGCTCCGGAGTGTCCTGGTGCTGTGTGCAATTGCCAGACCGGCCCAGCTGGCTGCCAGGCATGCAGTGCAACCCAGGGGATTATTTTTTGGTTACTGCAGCACCAACCCAGACCTGGAAGCTTCACTGGCTCACCCTGTCAGTGGGTCAGGGCTCAGCTTCAGGGGAACCTTGTCATGTCAAGCACTTCCATTTCAGCCCCTGTGCAAGTGACAGTGACAGGGTGCTAGTACCAGCAGCCAGCAGGCTGCTCCTGCACACTCCACCCAGGAGAACGGCACACTTAAAACACTGCCTGGTTTTAATATGATTTAATTGGTGCTTTCCAGAGCCAGTGTGCACTAATAGACCTCAATGACCACAAAGAGCCTCACCTGGGCCCAATCCCTTTAGCCACATGCCAGAAGCACTGTTGATTATTTGAGCCCAGTCTAGAGCCCTCACTCCCTACCTGGCTGTGGTCCCTGCTGAAGTGTGCTCTGATTTTCTGGCTCAGTCTCAGCCCCAGCTCATTATAGAGGCTCCTTGTGTTCCCCTCCTGCCAAGGACCAGCAGCCCTTTGTGAAAAACAGGCTGCCGGTGGTGCCAGAAGAGGAAAGCCAGCCTGCCTGGAGCACAGGGAGCCGTGGCCGTGGTTGGCAGAGCCAGGCCTCTGGCTGCAGGAGGTGCAAGCAAGGCTCAGACCTGGGGCTGGGTGTATTTCTTGGCTCTGGGAAGGGGCTGGCTCTGCAGGACTCTCTGCAGCCTGGAATACTGAAAAGCCTGTGGAGGGAAAAAGGATTTGGGAAGCTCTGGACAAGAGCTTCAGGAGCAGGCTGCTGCTGGGAGCTGCTCACCCTGTTGGCCACAGAATGACCAACCCTTCAGTGCCATCCTTTCCCAATGACTCTGGGGGCCGTGGGCTCCACATCTAGCATTAGTGCAGCACTTAAATGAGAGCAATAGGGAAGAGACTGCTTAGGGAGGCAAAGCTCTGTCTGAGGACAGAGCCCTGTGGGTCCCCTCCAGGCAGGTGTTGTAGAGCAGGCTGTGCAGGGTATGCTTACAACAGCAGCATGATCAGTGTATTTATAGGATACAGATACAAGGGTCACTGCAGAGAAACCTCTGCAGAGTCACAGCTACCACACACGCCATGGGCTATGGCAGGTGCCCAGCGAGAGCATGCAGATTCACAGTATTAGCAGTGAGCTGCCGGAGGGGTGTGCTGAGCCCTCCCCAGGCTCTGCAGAGACTGCTTTTGGTCACCAGAGAACAGCCAGCGCAGACCCTGCCCGACAGCCGGCAGGACAGCACCGGACATCTGAGTGCAGGCCTGGAGCCTGCAGCACCGCTCGTGTGGAAGTCTTGGCCGGGCTGATGGGGGTCAGGATGCCAGCTCAGCCCCTCAATCCCCTCCCGTGCGCGCTCAGAACACCAGCACAGGGCCCCTGCTGGGTGCCGGGGCAGCAGGCGGTCAGCGGCTCCAGAGCGCGAAGAGGGCGGGCGCGGTGGCCGGGGACAGCCAGCAGTGCTCCACCACGCCGTAGAGCGCGTAGCCCAGCAGCAGCCCGAAGAGCACGTCCGTCATGTTGTGCCTGCCCAGCATGACCCGGGAGATGCTGACGATGAGAGCCCAGAGCACCACGAGCACGCGCAGCGGCACGGCCAGGACCAGGTGGCGCAGGACGAAGCGGCAGACCAGAGCGGCCCTGGTGGCGTGGCCCGAGGGGAAGGAGTACTTGTCCACCGAGATGGTGACGAACATGTCCATCTTGTTGTGCGTGGGCCGCGGCCGCTTGACGAGCCCCTTCACCACCGCCACCATCACCAGGTCCAGCAGCAACGCTGGAGAGACAGCAACAGGGGTTATGAAGGCAGAACCATCAGCTGAGGGCCATCGGCTGTCAAAGCTGCCCGAAGGGGATGCTTTTCCCCATGGCTGCAAGACCCAGGCAGGGAGAGCACAGCACGCAGCTGCTCTTGGCCTTCTGCAGCAGAACGAGCACATCCTGAACTCTGCACTCACCCCTCGTGCACCACCAGCCCCTTGGCCTGCCACGGCCTGCACCCCAGGGCTTTTCTCTCTGTGCAGAATCTGACTGTGCCGTGACTGGGGGCCCGATCTGCTCCTTAGTCTGAGGGCAGCAGAGGCATGAAGCCCCCAGAGCTGCCCTGCCAGCAGTGCTGACTCTGCATTGCCCTGCTGACCGGGGTCAAACCGAGCGGGTGAATGATCAACCCCCTCCCCTCCGGCACAGGCCAGCGGGAAATGCTCAGGGCTGCTGGGCTGCCAGGGCTCTGGGCTCTGCCTTCTCCCTGCTGCTCGGGGAACAGTTAACCCTGCTCTGGCTTTCCAGACGTGAATAAAGGATAACTGATGGTGGCTTGCCCCTGAGAGCTAAAGGCTGTGGTCACAGAAGAGGCAAAGTGCCTGTGATAAATGTTCAGCCAGTATTTGGCAAGAGCAGCTCCTCATGTAGGGCAAAGGGTGCTTTCTCCATCCCTGTTAGCTCAGCTTAGCACAGCACCCACAGCCTGGGCTACTTCTTGTTGTGTAAGAGACCAACTTCTGTTTGCCCTAAGACACATTTGTGGACTCCAAATCTTTTGGTCACTTCAGTTCATTTCCTTTGGTTAATCATTTAAGACCAAATTTTCTTTTTTTTTTTTTTTTTCCCACATGTAAAACTAGATCAACTGCTTTTTCTCTTTCTACACAGGAACTGGGAAATTCAAGTTGGACATGAGGGAATCCTCCTTCCCCACATGGGTGCTGCAACCCAGGGGCAGATCCCCAGAGAGGTGGGTGGCTGTTGCCCAGAGCACTGAGGTGTTGGGACAGCTCTCCCTGGAGCAAAGGTTGGGCTGGAGGCATCCAGTTCTGCTCTGGGGCTCCAATTTAACCATGTGCTGCTAGATGAGAAAGATGCACAAACCTATGTTTCCCACCAAGCAAATTTCAATTCAAAACTGGACTGATCCTAATTATTTGCAGCTTCATACAAGAGTAACATCAGGGAACCGAAAGGTCTGGTGCCCTGGAGCTATTAGAGTTCCTAAATAAGCAAAAATTAATCCTCTTAACTATACCTAGGCTGTTCTGTGTGTGTGTGAAACACTACACCACGCAGGATTAGAATGTGAGCTTTGAGCCAGGTTTCCTCACTGGCTGGTGCACAACAATCCACGAAGGCCCTGCAGGCAGGGAGCCACGGCTCCGTGTGCCAGAGCAGCTTTTCAGGGAAATGCCTGGTGTCTCAACCCTCGGCAGCGCACCGGGAGCGCGCTGTTGCGAGAGGCCCCGGCCCCCAGAGCGTTTTGCAACCGCGGGAGCAGTTTGGCAATCGGGGGTTTGCCACCTCGCGGTTGCAGCCGTGACAAACGACTCGTGTCGGTGCCACCGCGCCCTTAAGCGGCAGGGTCACTCCCGTGCCCGCAGGGCCGGCACGGGCCGCTCCCAACCAGCCGCTGCTCCCGGCGCTCCGGCTCACCCCCACCCCTCGGGCCGCCCTCCCCCGCCGCGGGGCGAGCCCCCGCCTCACCGAAGAGCAGGTTGAGCAGCACCTCGCGGGCGGCCGAGCTGTCAGTGTGGCACAGCCCGTAGCAGGTGCCCAGCAGCCAGGGGATGCCGTGCCCCGACACCTCGATGACCTTCATGAGCGGGCGGGCGCTGCCCCAGGCCGAGCCCTCCCCAGCGCACACCCCGAGGCGCTTGGAGGCCCAGAGGTCGATGGCGAGCAGGGAGCTGAGCGCGATGCCCACGAAGGACGGGTTCAGCTTCATGCAGTCCTCCTCGGGCAGCGGGGCGGCCGCGGGCTCCCTGCGCCGGGACGGGCTCTCGGGGGCGCCGGGCCCGCGCTGGCTCAGGGACAGGAACTCCGGGCGCCCGCCGCGGCTGCTGCGGGGGCTCGGCATGGCGCCGGCGGGCGGCCTGCGGGGGGGGGGCGC